TCATTGCCATATATCAGACAGTCATCATATACACTGTATAATCACAGGGTTTTGTAAGGTGTTTGATATTTACACATGAGAAAAAAAAAATCTCTAACCCAATCCAAGATACTGTGGCCCCCGGAAATACAACGTTGGAGGATGACGAGGATAAAGACTACCCAGTTGAAACGAGGTGTCACATAGCTGGATATCTTCATGAGTTTGTGGCAACAGGTGATTCATCACAAATGTGCTTTTTGTCACACAGAACTTTCGTTTAAATCAGAGTAAAAGTACTCAGGTATTGTGGGCTGGTGTTGAACAGGTGCTCAAGAATTTGTCATTGTTCACTGCTTGTAATTTCATCTCATTCGCATGTGATGTTTGTACCAAGACCCTAACCTTAACCCTAGAAAGCTTTGTTGAATGGAAGTAATATTATTAGGCTTGCCCTTTTTTAATTGCAACATCCCAACCATCACTCAGAGGCCATGTAAAGTTTTGGACAGGGTGGAAGATCCCATCTTCTGACACGCAGCTGGAGATTTGCATTTCGAGTCCCTCGCCTACCAGGGCAGTCCGGTAACACAGGCTTTGGACTGGTTTAACTAATTGTCGGTCACCGTTGTTGTCGACCCCTTTATTTGTTCTGCTGTATAGAGTTAGTATAACGTGTCTAACTTGTTTCACATTCTAGCTGTGTTTGGTCAGCTGTCTAGCCTTGTGTTAATGTTGTGTTGAACTTGATTTTGTGTTCACAGCGCTGGTTACTAAGAGCAGAGGCAGTGTATTCTCTGCAGACGTTTGTTAATCCTGCTCCTAGGAGCCCACTGCAGTGCAAAGTTTCAGCTATTCCTTGCCCTGACTCAGCTGTTGTGCTGGGTCAGGCGTGTTGGGACAGAGAATAAGTGAAACTTTGCAGTATAGTGGGTTGCCAGGAACACTGTACTTGTAGGCTTATTAATGTTAAATGTCCTCTTACATTTCTCCTGTTTAATAACATAGCTGACAACTATTCAGATGACAAGACGAGTCAAAGGTGCACAGCGTTGTACAGTGTTCATTTTAAAATATGCACTTTTATTGATTATAAATAGACACACAAAGATTCAGCTAATAAGAGATTTGAAGATATAAGGAATTAATTAGCTTAATCAAGTGTGTTGCGTTTGGGTTGGAAATAAACTCAGGAATGCAGCTTTAAAAAGAGGGCTGGAAGTCCATGTGTTAATGCTAGGGAAAGCAGAAAAGCTGCCTCTATTTTCAAGGTTATACAATAAAAATATAGTTTTGAGAAGCGTTATTTGTTGTAAAGACAGATCAGCCACTGCTGCTCTGATTCAGTAACACCCTGTATATACTGTACCCACTGCCCTGTAAATGTCTGCCCCAAAGCACGTTGACTGAGCAACCTGAACGAACAGATCTCTGAGAGACACACTCAGGAACCTGAATAATAAATTAATTTAAACTATTAAATTTATTCATTTAAGTTAGATTAAAGGTATGTAAAATGTCACGATTACCATGAACACTCGGTTTTAGTCAAAGTATTTTATTATAGAAATTGCAATTTTTGCATATTGTTAGCTGTCTTCTTTTCGGGTAGTCAGAGAAATCCACATGAATTCAGAGAATTTCTTTTAGCTGCATTTCCAAAACTCAAGACAAGGGGGTGGATTTGAATTGCTTAAAATTTCTGGAACAACCCAAAGTCGCCAACTAAGCCCTATCCCCTGTCCCAATGAAGGCTACCATGTCAGACATCTAAAAGATCCACAGACCCAGATTGGTCATGCTACCATTTTCATTCGACCACTTCAATGGAACCTGAATGTGGAGCCTGCAAGTTCCTAACTTTAAACTGCTGTTCGCTTCGGAAAAATGCTGACTTTGAATGACAGTCACATAATTTTTTTCTCGTGCTGAATTTTAAAATTATGTTCTCTGTTGATACGTCAATCAGAATGCAGTGGTGAGCTCGTTGGACCACCTTAGAAAGGTGTCACATGTGGGGAAGAATTCCCTTTTTCACAAATCAGGGCTCATAGTGATGACTGCATGAGGTATTGCTTTACCTAACAGCAAAAACATCACATTTGTAAGCACACTGATCTCATACTTCAGACCGGTGGCATAGCGAGTTCACCACCAGCCAAAAGGCACACAGCATCTTTGATAGTATGTGCCTGTGAATGTTGTACTGGATTTCTTGTACTGTACTGGTTTCTTTTTGTTATTGTGTCTTGAAACCTACTAAGACACTAACAAAATTCACTTGTTTATCTAAGGCAATCGCAGAGCACGGCTGAGGTAGCCACAGAAAGTGCCAGCCCCCCTAAAAGTGAAGACAGATGTGTGAGTACGTGGACAAAACCACAGAAGAGTCAGACAGCAAGGGCATCAGGGAAATATGCCAGCCCCAGTGACACCTCAGGGACATGTGCCCACTCCTCAAATCGTTGATCTAGGTCCCGTTGAGGACAAAGGTGGTCTGTTACATTAAATTTAACCATTACATGATTTCTTTTAGTTATTTGTTGTTCTCTAAATATATGGATTTGATACAAATGTAACATCTATTTTAAAATTTATCATTTTAACTGTTTAAGAATGGAAAATTAAGCCAGATCCCACAGAGGCAGCAAAAAGATTCAAAGAAGACCTAAATAAGCATGCAACTGGAAAACCACTAAGTCTTGCCTGGGATCTTGGAGGCAGTGCAGAGGACAGGGAAAGGGCAATCCTTACTTTTTTTATGTCGAGCACCAACAGCAAACCATTTTTTCATAACTATGTGTTCTGTTCACGGATGTACGCATTGTTTTGCTTGTTCAGGAGATCCAGAAATTGATGCTAGTGTGATTCACCATTTTTTGCAACAGTCATGTCCAAAGTTCAGTTTGATATTTGTTTTGGAAAGTAAAAATTATGATTTTTTTCTCTTTCCCTATTTATTTCACACATGTTTTATGATTTTATTTTATGATGCACTCCTTTTAAATCACTGTTGATCTGACACTGCTTGTGTATCAGCCATCAGGTTATGTATTTGGTCTGTGCCAATTCCAGGCTAAGAAGAAATCAACAGTCTCAGACCTGCTGACCTTGATATCTGAGACAATCAAGTCGGTATGATAATTTTTTTCAGTATAGTTTTACTGACAAGTAAGGCTACATTTATAAAAAATATGATATTGTCAATTAATATTTTTATGGTAATGCAATTTAAATGTTTTTCAGCAGATCAACATTAAGATAATTCCTTGATCACATGACATAGTTTTGCTTGGTACCAGCAGAAGTGTTAAAGTATCATTGAACGCAGTGAACTTGAATAAATCTCTTTAAACACTTAATTATATTGACAGATGTCACTTCAAATGTTCTTTAAACAAGAATGATTTTAATACATTTCTAATTACGAGAGAAACCAGATGGCTTTGTTATTGCTTGAGGAATTTTGTGCTGGTAACAAATTGAATAACAAATAGAATTTTGTGGTTTTAAACCTGTCACTGGTGTTTTCTGACTCAGTTAACATAACTGGTAAATAGTTTTATCCCTGTTCATTGTATTAAAGTTGATTATGTATGGAAAAAGTCTTCTTGAGAAATGACTTATTAACTCAAATTTTCTATATCAGCTGGATGGTACAGCGGAATTACCATCTGAGCAAAGGCACACTATCAATGAGCTGGCACTGTCCTGGGACCTGCCTCAAGTCACATCTGAAAATAGGAGATGCCTGCTTGACAAACTGCTGTGAGTATTTTAACATGTCATTAAACAAACTGACTAATCGAGTTATGATGAAGGACTGCATCTTTGTTTTTCATTACCTAGAGATACACAAATGGATGTTGGGTTTGTTGTAAGTTATTAGTTATACAAAGTTTGAGCTGAAAATAAGGCTGCTTGCCTTTTCTGTTGTGATGCAAAGATTTTGCAGGTCCTTGGAAGAACCAGACAAGCCAAGCACTTATGATGGGGTTTAAAAGAGACACTGATCTGGCCTTTGCTAACAGATGAAAGACACAATTCCCCTGCTCTTTCCAAGAGCATCTCAAATACAGTGCACATCACAGGTAAATGCACTGAATCAGTAACACTCGCCCTGGCCATGGGCACTGGTTTCAGTTCATTACAACAATTAACTGGGGAGTACAGCTGCCATTATTGGTCAATTGACAGAAAATTTTTTGCTAATGGAATTATGGTTTGAGTACACTTTTAAATGCAAATATCTGCTGGTCTCTGCTTCTAAAATGTGAGGATCTGATTCTTTTTTTGTTGTTGTACATGATCATAAACTCAGCTTGGGAGAGACTGCCTGAAACCTATTACAGATGCTGTAAATAGTCACATTTTCATTCAGCTAAACTTACAACACTGAATAAGCAAATACAGCTCAAACATGGTCCTCAAAGAAATGAATGATTTGGAAATGAAAAGTACTCTTATTTTACACATGCAAACCAGTACCAGTATCTTTAAACCTTCTACAACTTGAGCCAGTACTGTGGCCTGTTTTATTAGATTTATGTGTACAGCAGTTCATTGTACTTGTGATTTTCTCTTGGCTGTTTGGAAAAGCAGGTGTTAAATTATTCTGTCAGATGGTCTTGGACAAGATAAACTGGCCAACACAGGACAAAGATGAAGACAGTGATGTCTTTTTGGAAGATACATGTAGGATCACAGCATTCTTTCGCACCTTCATTGAGAATGGCAAGTTAAATTTGTACTTTAAGGTTATTACAGGTTATTTAACTAGAGCGCCATAAAGGTCACAACGAAATTACTGTAGGTGTCCTTCCTCTACACTGTAAACAATTGCTGTAATTTCTACAGCAAATATTTACAATAACATCCTGTATTCTGAAATTACTGCATATTACTGTATTTTGCTATGATTCATGGGAGCTGCTGTCCAGTCTTAACAGTTTATTGTAGAATTTACAGCAAGTTCATGAACGCGAAAGGACCTCTGGGATGGCCAACGGACTTCTGAAAGTGGAGGTTTGAACTAGGATTGTGGCGCCTCATTGGACCTGGTGTTCACTAAAACAAGTACGAATTATTCTTAACGTTACCTATTTATTCTTGTCAAACAAATGAGATTATATTTCTAAGGTTTGCTTTATCTCAGACCTCTGTAGCTGAGAGTTTCTGCTTTCTGTGATTAATAGTAATCGTGTCTGGTCCGCCGCACTTAGCTAACCTACGTTCTCTGAACTTGCTAAGCCAGCACAGCAACTTTGATGCTACAGCTAGTTAGGTTAGCTAACTATCTAAGTTACAACAAGATATGTGATTAAAGGTGGCTGAGTAAGTCAGATTCCTCATCGCGTTTGTTAGATGTATGATGTGTTCCGTCGCTAAAAGGACGGCTTATGGAAATGGAGGTTTGGAAAAGGCTAGTGGCGCCTCATTGGACCTGGTGTTCACTGAAACGAAGTCTTTAGCTATAACGTATATTGCATATTCTGGTTTTACTTCGCCTCAGACATCACAAGCTTTCGGGAACTTGTTCTCTCCATGACCATTTGAATCGCTTTGGTTCTTTTGCGGATTCTCGGATTCTCTGAGCTAACCTAGCTAAATAAGTAAGCAAGCTAACGCTAGCTAGCTAACCTAGCTAACTAGCTTCAACAGCACACCTTATACACTTCGGCCGCACCGTGTGAATAGCGCCGTTTTTTGAGTGCCTTGATGTCTTATCGATTCATCCATTAACGTTGTCACGTTGTCGCATTACAAAGGCAATTTAGCGTTTAAGTGCACAAAGACGTGCAGCTAGAAAATAAACTATGATAGTCACGCATGCTTGTGTTAAAGTGGCTTGCTATCGTAAGCTACCTTTTGTGGGGGCGCGTTGTGGTCGTTTTTAGGCTTAATGTGGCCAGCGTGCATGCACCTTTGCTGTAGTTAGTTGTCCCTTTGTTAGTTCCATTTTTATTTCCTCTCTCAACAAAATGTTTATTTGCCAACTTTGTTATCATGAAAGCAGTACAATCTTACTTTTTGCTCAGCATGTGAAATTGCACAGAAATGCTCCCAATCCTGAATTTAGATGTGGCGTGCCTGATTGCCCACGTGTTTTCAAGAAGTTTACTGCATTAAAATCTCACATATACAGAGATCACAGGGTTCATCACAGGCATGTTAGGGATGCCCAAAGTCAGGTTCAGGATACAACATTGAAAAGTCAGGTAGACTTCTGTCAAGTCAAATGTGGGAATTTAACACAGTTTTTGTCTCATCTGAAGAATCATATCCAATCAGGTTTGGAAATCACATGTCCATTTTTGGCGTGTGGTCAGAAATTTAGAGTGAAATCAACATTTGCATCACATGTGTCTCGAAATCACAAAAACTGTTCTGTCAGCAGTCTGATCGATTCTGTTTTGGACAGTGAAGTTTCAGGTTCTGGCCAGCATGAATATGTATTGATATCTGAAAATGAAAGATCAGAGGATTTAGGGGAAGCTGTTCTTGGTGATGTAGATGAATCTCTGTTTTTGAGGAATTTGACTCTTTTCTATTTGAAATTACAAGCTAAATTGTTGCTTCCAGAGTCTACTATTCAAAGTATTGTTGAGGAATTTCAGAGTATTCATGACATTGGTCAGTCATATTTACTTGCTAAACTAAGCGAGAAGTTGACTTTGCTTGGAGTACCAGAGGAGAAAGTTAAATGTGGTTGATGATTTGACCAGGGAGGATCTTCTGAAAGTGTGTAATAACGGGTTTTGAGTACCGCCCAGAGAAGAAAGACAGTTTTCAAGTCTGATTTCCACTACGTTGAACCTGTGCCTCTTTACCTAGGAAACAGTGAGTCAGGGAAGGAATGTTTTGCTCAGTATGTCCCTATAAAACAAACGATTGCAACTCTGTTTGAATGTAAGTCAGTGAGGGAACAGTATGAACAAGTGCATTCTCAAACAACAAAACCTGGCCTGTTCCAAGATGTAAAGGATGGCGAGAACTTTTCTGAAAATGTTTTATTTCAGACTGACCCATCAGTTCTGGGCTTAATTATTTATCAGGATTCCTTTGAAGTGGTCAATCCATTGGGCTCAGCAAGGAAAAAACACAAATTGCTCGCAGTGTATCTTACTTTAGCTGATATTTTGCCTCATAACAGGTCAAATATAGACCACATGCAACTTGTTCTTCTGTGTAATGAGCAACATTTTAAGTACTTTGGGCAAGACCGAGTTTTCAGATCACTGATTGAAGACCTCAGAGATCTTGAAGACAATGGCATTGTTCTAAACAATGGCAAAATACTAAGAGCTGCCTTGCTTGCGATTATAGGTGATAACCTGGGATCCCACACTATTGGAGGTTTCGTGGAGAGCTTCAGCCGGAGCCTACATTTTTGCAGGTACTGTGATATGGATAGGGGCACATTTCAGTCCACACCTCTAGAGACAGGCATTAAACAAACTAGAGCATCTTACCAGAACAGTGTTCAGGAACTCACAGATAGTGGCAGTGATGTTGTGTGTGGGATCAAATTTGACTCCCCTTTTAATAAGTTGAAATACTTCCATGTATGCCAGCCTGGCTTACCTCCCTGCCTTGGCCATGACCTGTATGAAGGCATTGTAGCATTTGATCTTCAGTTGTACATTAATCACTTGGTAAAACAAGAGAAATGCTTTACTTTTGTAGAGCTAAACCGCTGTGTCAAGCAACTTGCTTACTCGGGAACTGATGCTGCAAATAAACCAGCTGAGATTTACTCTGGGAGTGAGAAACTTTGTGGTCAGGCCATTCAGAACTGGTGTCTCTTAAGACTGCTGCCTGTTATTGTAGGTGACAGGATTAAGAACCCAACGGGAGAAGTATGGCAACTTGTTTTGCTACTCAGACAAGTTGTAGAGCTAATTTGTGCACCAGTGATATCTGCAGATCAGGTTGCATACCTTAAAGTGCTTATTGATGAGTACATTCATTTTAGAAGTGTGACATTTTCCTGTGACTCTCAAGCCAAAACATCATTATTTGTGCCATTACCCAGACCTCATTACACAATTTGGTCCTCTAATTCGTCTCTGGACCCTGCGGTTTGAGAGTAAGCATACATATTTCAAGCAATGTGCAAGGAAATTGCACAACTTCAAGAACTTGTGTGCAACCCTTGCTGAGAGACACCAGCTTTGTCAGGCCTATTTAAGTGCTGGAAACTTATTTCAGCTGTGTGTTCAAGTTGACAGGGGCTCTGAGTTCTGTGCTGATGATTATAATGAAACAATAAGAAAATCAGTAGCTTGTTTAGATACTCAGTCAGGGAATACTTTAGCAGCGACTCAGATCTCTCTGAAAGGAACCAAATACAAAAAAGGCATGGTTGTACTTCTGGGCAATAATGATGAGGGTCTGCAGATTGGTAGAATTAAACTAATCCTTGTTCACCAAAATTCCAAGGTTTATTTTGCGTCTGAAAAACATCTTGCTTTACCGTTGACAGATATTGGTGTGTACTGCATAACAGATGCAATACAGGACCCAATTGTTGTGTGTGTACACCAAGAGGAGCTTTTGGATTATTATCCTCTTCAAGAGTACAAACTCTGTGGCTTGTCAGTAGTTGCATTACACCATTCTTTTCTGTCTTTATAAAGCAATGCCCAATTTAGAAGAGCTGAAACAAGTGGTCTGCTCCACATTGCCTGGACTTTCAGAGGAAACACTTAAGAAATTGGTAGATGGAGTTGTTGCTGTTGGTGTGGAGACCCAGGCAGATCTTCAGTTTGTGAAGGAAGAAGACCTGCTGGAACACCTCAAGCCAATCCAGTGCCGCAGGCTTTTAAATGCTTGGAAATGTGAAGGTATTTCAATTGCAATTCAAATTTGAATGTACATATAGGGATGGACAATGTGATGATATTGTTAGCATGATAAATTGTCACAATATGCTTTTCTGACAATATCATGGATATTTTTGGACATGTTTCATTACAAAGAGAGCTAATTAGTCCTGATAAGTAGATATATTGCAGCACAGTATGTGAAACTTGGAATAAAAATGATTATACTCATAGTTTTGGTCGTATTTTTAAAATGTTAGACTAGGATTTTTGCTATGTAACAACTTATCGAACTTCAAAAAAAAAATTGTGATATACATCCTGAAAATGTCTCCCAAGTATTGTGATTTTATGTTTTTGCCGTATCGGTCACCTTACTTATATGTGTAGATAGTAAAGTTTCATTTTATTTTTTTCAGTCTTAGAACATGCAAGCTGCTCAACCCCCTGCCGCTCAGCACAACCAACCCTCTCTGATGTGTCAAGCCCATCATCTTGGAGCCTCTCAAGTTCCCCACTACATTCTCCATGTACCACATCTCCTCCTTCTCCTGCTGTCCCTTCGGCATCTTGTACATGGGCTGAAAGTTTTAAGGTGCCTTGGGAAGTAATGCCCTCGGGTATTAGGTTGGCCATCGCAAATAAAAAAAGACCATCACCTGGTGATCGAAGGCAGCTAATAAGGATGGTCGTGGATGCAATGCGAAGATATGAACTCAGTCCAACAAGAGCGCAGTGCCAGATTGTGGCACAGAACATTGTTAAGCAGTACCCAGAGAGCTTTAGTGATGTTTTGCATGACGGTATGATTGTAGGTAGCGGGCATGGCTCTTTGTTGTCTCAGCTAAAAACTCCGTGACATTAATGCTGTTCCACCCTCGTCCTTGTCCAGTTTGAAGAGCTCATGGCCGTACCTGTTCTGTCTAAAGGGGCTCTCCATCCACTTTCAGTTGCTTACAGATATCCCTTTGCTCCCAAGAATTATGGAGGGCTTTGAGGTGAAAGGAAAGAGGATTCTACGATTCTTTGAAGAAAAGCCAACAAACGATGAGGTTCGTGCCATTTTGTTGAAGTCTGGACAAGAAAGTTCTCTGGTTCCATGCATTTTGCTGCTCTTGATGGCCCACTTTAAGGAGAAATCTGAATCTCTTCTTCTAGAAGCTGATGTAAGTAGTAGAACAATTTCTCCCAACCTGGCACCTTAACTGTCAGTTGCTGTTTAACCAATTTTTTTCTTCATTTTTTTAATTTAAATTTGTTGCTGTTTTTTGTTATAGGTGGCAGCGACTGCAGCAGATGTCCAAAGAACAGTTGCATTACCAGATTCACCCAGGCTGATTATCCAAGGTTATTAAAGCCCCCATATCCTACATTGTCCGTGTATATTTTTCTCTGAGGTCCTCTTAAAAATGTTTGTATGTAATTAATGTTTATTTTCCTACCTCTCTTCATCCCTTACAACTAAACTGGCTATTTTATTACTCTGCTTTTAAGACTGATATTTAAATGAGCTCTGTTTAAAACGGCTTCTTTGTATCATGCCTCATTCAAAAAGCAGTCCATACAGAAATGCTCATTATAACTTCAGTATAACTTCCTGTTTAAAATATCTGACTATAACCTTGTATAATACAGTCTGACTGCAAAAGGTTAGATAGGTTTAAAATGTTAGTCCTGTCTAATTAGGTAGCCGTAGCCATATGTTTGTTTGTGTCTGTCACTGTCTCCTTTTCTCTGTTTGTCTGTATATTTGTTTTTCTCCCACTCTTTTAAAAGTGCAGTGATAACTGTATTGTTGATATTCTCTAACATGACAAAAATATGTTTTCTCAATTTTTTTTTTGCAGGTGACAAAATGAACCCTGAGAGGTGGATGCTGTCAGTGGAAGGCGAGATTGTCCTGGGGTCAAATTCAAACACATTTGTTGAAGGCCTTGCTGCTTTATTTGCGACATATTACACCTTCAACCTAGAGTATCAGGAGGGAGCGGCATCCACATTGGAATTCATTCAAAGGTAAGAAAAAGCTGTTTAAAAGGTTTTTGGTGCAGCATCGTGGAAAGGCTTCACCATAACCTGGGAGGAGGAAGCAGACGTGACCACACTAGACACAAAGTCAGGGCTGAAGACATTTGGGCAGTTTTACTGAACTTGCATGTTCAAAATTAGAAAACAAAATGGCATAAGGGATCGGCCAAACACGCTCATATGTCCTCCCGTCCTGAGTCTTGGGGCTATGTTCTGAAGCTAACATTCACAAGTTGAATGGGAACATTTTTTTTTCTCTAATGTGACACATATCTGATTTTTTTTTAAAATCACATTGGAGCCACTTTTTTTTCTCCTCTCACTTTGCATGCACATATTATCGTTATAATCCAGCGTCACAGTGTAGCAGTAGTAGTGGATAACCTGCAGTTTCTGCCAGTAAACACTCAAAAGCATCTGATCTTTATTCACCCTTTCCCCTTAATTACAAACAGCTCCGAGCTATTTAGAGCAAAGGATCTTTGTGATTGTTGTTCATGACATTGTTGATTATGATTTGCGTACACAGGTCATTTCAGGGTTCAGGTTTGTTCACACTAGAGACAGATATGATTCACCTACACAAATGTGAAACATCAAAACAGACAGATCAGGTCAGAGCAAAAAATCAGACTTGACTAACAAAGCATGTGAACATGGCCTTATAGCTGAGCTGATAAGCTCCCCAGTTAATCAGTCAACATTAGATGGAGCTCATCATCCCTAAACAAAAGACTCTGTAAAACTAAATAGCACGACTAAATACAGAACGAGAAAAAATACTAAACTGCCACTTGTCTTTGAACAAACCCACTGTTTTATATTGTATTGTCTGAGATACTGACAATTGCTTTATTTTACAGAGGAATTGTGGGTATTAACCCAGGAACGGGATCAAAGGTTGGTGCTGGAAAGCGGGAAAAGAAACGATCTGGAATGAATCCACATGTCTGCACTCTGCTCAGGAAACTGATGGACTTTGAGTGGCTTTGTCTTTAGGAAAACTTGGTGCTATTTGCCAAAAGATCTGGTCAGTACATAGTTTTTTTTTTTCTAAATAGAAGTTTAAAGTTCAGACATGTAGCTTAGTGTTGTCTTTGTGTTTTAAACAGTTGCTTCAGTCTGTGCTCTGCTCAGGAAAGTAATGTTTTGCTGTTTTTTTCAGAATATACAGCAACAAAGTACAGCATTTTTTTTCAGCCATTAAATTTAAATATTGTCACTCTAAGTTGGCTTTTCTTTAAAGTATTTTTGATACTCCAAGACACTGAACAGTTTCAGCACTAGATTTGAAAGTGTTAGAAGTACTTGCTGTTTTCTTTAAGAAAGTTGAATGTTTTTATTTTGCAGTGGGTATCTCTGCCACGCAAATTTATTTTTTGTACTTGTAAATTTGGCCATGTGCTGTTATAGTAAAATAAGTGAAATCAAAATTTTGTGTGAAGTAATTGTCATTTATGGCTTAGTAGTAATGTATGACAAGGACATGTATGTCATTATCAACGGGCTACTAAAGATAAAAAATTGTATTTAATATTAAGCGGTGTGATTTCATGTGAAGTATGTAGTTAATTCAGTTAATAAGTAATGCAGTTTCAGACCATCTGCAAGTCACTTGTAACCGTTTACCTTAAAGCATCAGAAACTGAGCTGACTGTTACAAGTAATGTAATCTTGGCTATAGTTTTTCAGACAATACATTTACAATAGTTTTACTGTAGACAGAATTATTTTTACTGTCATTTAGAATTAGGAAGATATTAAAGTTATTACTGTAATTTAATATTTATTGTACTCTTTAGCTTTAAAAACATGGTTAATTTTATCGTAGATATACTGGATTATACTGTCTTCTTTGCAGTTGTTACTGGGATTTTTCATTCTGTAAAATTACAGCAAAATAATTTACAGTACCACGCTGTAAATTTACAGTACCTTACTGGCAATTTTAGTTGCCAGTAACTTACTGTAATTTTACAATAAAATAGGTTTTAGTGCACCGCATATATACAGGATCATACTGTATTTTTACAGTTATTACAGGGATTTTTAGTTCTGTAAAATTACAGTAAAATAATTTACAGTCTCATACTGTAAATTTACAATACATTACTGGCAACTAAAATTGCCAGTAATTTCCTGTAAATTTTACAATAAATTTTTTACAGTGTAGTCAAGTCAAATTTATTTGTATGGCGCTTTTTACAACTGATGTTGTCACAAAGCAGCTTCACAGAAATCCGTTTAGGACAAAGTTTTAACATGAAATGTAAATCCTCCAGGTGAGCAAGCCAGAAAAAACTCCCTCAGAGCTGAGGAAGAAACCTTGGGAGGAACCAAGGCTCACAAGGGGGGACCCATCCTCCTCTGGTCAAACTACCTTCAAAATTATTATACTGTTAATATTAATAGTAGTAGTAGTAATAGTTAGGAGGTAGTAATAGTTAGGAGACTTCAGTGTAGAGTGGGCAGCCAGTCCAAGGCAGGTGGCGGTGACTGGGGCGTGGGCAACTGGTCTGAAGCGGGTAGCCGGAGAGCTCTACTGACAATCATCCATCAGTGTCCGGCCGGACAGGTGGGCAGTCGTTTACTCTGAAAAAGGCAGGGAGATGGAATTAGTTTTGTTCTGTTTATGTAAAACAGAGATTGTGAACATTTCCAGAGTGTGGCTAATGACTCCGGCAGATCTGACTATAACAGCTTGACTAAAAGGAGAGAACCAAAAGGGCACACAGACACGGGAGCACCCTGAGACAATCTGGCATCCCTCCGCTCCACCGTCCACAAACCTGAGTGATCGCGTGCGAGCGGCGGGACAACAGCACCAGCGTCTCAGTTTACTATAATTCCCTGTGTCCATGGACCCCTGGATCTGCTGCCTTTATCTAAGGGGAAACATTAACTACCAAAAGCTAAACTAAACAAGTGGGTTTTCAGCCTAGATTTGAAGATTGCGACTGAGTCTGAGTCCCGAACATTTTCTGGAAGATCATTCCAGAGTTTGGGGGCTTTATAAGAAAAGGCTCTTCCCCCAGATGAAGCCTTCTGAATTCTGGGAACTATTAAAAAGCCAGCACTCTGTGATCTGAGTAATCGTGGTGGCTCGTAATGGGAAATAAGGTCTTGCAGGTACTCAGGAGCCCATGTAGGGCTTTATACGTCAATAAAAGAATTTTCTAATCAATACAGAATTTAACAGGCAGCCAATGGAGTGATGATAGAACTGGACTGATATGATCAAATGTTCTAGTTTTAGTGAGAACCCTGGCTGCAGCATTTTGAACTAGCTGAAGTTTACTAAAATTCCTGCTGGTGCATCCTGACAGTAGTGCGTTACAGTAATCTAGCCTTGAAGTAATAAAGGCATGTACTAATGTTTCTGCATCGTGCAGCGATAAGGCATTTCTTATTCTGGCGATGTTGAGAAGATGTAAAAAAGCTGTCCTAGTGATGCTGCCTGTGTGTTGATCGAATGATAAATCTGGATCGAGTATTACACCAAGATTTTTTGCTGCTGAACCTGGTATAACTGGGAAGTCAGCGAGATTTAAAATTAAATCTGATAATTTATTTCTTGCCACTTTAGGACCCAGAAGGAGAACCTCTGTGTTGTTACTGTTTAGGAGGAGGAAGTTACGCAACATCCAACCTTTCACATCTTTTATACAGTCCTCTATTTTCTTTAACCTGTATTTGTCATCAGGCTTGGCTCATATGTACAGTTGCGTATCGTCTGCGTAACAGTGAAAGTTAATGCCATGGCTACTTATAACTGTGCCTAACGGTAACATGTATAATGTAAATAATAATGGTCCTAAAATAGAGCCTTGCGGAATTCCAGATCTTACTTGTGAATAATTGGAAAATGAATCATTTACCTTTACGAACTGATAACGTTCCGTTAAGTAGGATTTGATCCACGATAGGGCGGTCCCTGTGATTCCAACCATGTTTTCTAACCTTTCTAGGAGAATATTGTGGTCTATCGTATCGAAAGCTGCGCTGAGGTCAAGTAGCACCAACAGGGATACGTAGCCTTGATCAGAGGCAAGAAGGAGGTCATTTGTTATCTTAACTAGAGCTGTCTCAGTGCTGTGATGTGGCCTGAATCCAGACTGGAATTTTTCATATATGTGGTTCTTATGTAGATATGAACTAAGTTGCTGGGCTACAGCTTTTTCTAAGATCTTAGATATAAATGGTAGGTTAGAAATAGGCCTGTAATTAGACAATACACAGCATCAAGGCTTGGTTTCTTGATCAGAGGCTTAATAACGGCTAGTTTAAAGGCTCTGGGTACATGGCCCAGGCTAAGGGACGAGTTTACTATACTTAAAAGAGGATTAATGATAACTGGTAGCACTTCTTTGAGTAATTTTGAGGGAATTGCATCAAGTGTGCAGGTTATTACCTCTTTAACTGTGGGTTCTTAGTAACAACAGTAACTTAAATAAAATATTGGTGACCTTTTTGCTTCTGCTTTAATGATGTTCTTAAAAAAAAGTTTAAGCAAGAACATAATTTTTTTTTCTCTCCTATGGTAGCATCTCCAAACCTGCTTGGAAAACTTGTGCAGTTCTGGATGATCTATGTTCAGAATAGACCGAGTTAAGGTCATAGAGTTCAGAAGTTTTTCTAAGGAGAGACTTCAGATTTTTTAATTTGTAAAAGTTAAAACCTTTCACAGTGTATGAGTTTATGAACACAACAACAACATAAGTGTCAACGAACACTATTGAGCATTAAAAGTTCTCAGGGCTGCCTCAGGACTAAACTATGAACTAAAGCACAAATCCAGTATGTTAGGAAATTTGACAATGTTGAAAATAATTTTTTGTAACGTTAATGATGGTATTTAACCAGTGATATTTCTGTTTCTATCTTTGCAGTAGAGATATAGCGTGCTGTGCTGTAAAATCTGGAATCCGAAACCTACTTGCTTCACTACTTTTGTAGAAATTTGCACATAGATATAATACCAGTTGCATTTTCAGCAAACAACAAAGATGAAGTAAAAAGGAGACGGACTGGACAAACTGTTGGGTGTTTATTACCTTATCCCATACCCTGCCATCCTCCGGTGAATTGTTCTCTCGCACACTCCGAACAGCTGTGCTATGTCTCCAGCGGTGTGGCTCAAAAGGAGGTGAGCCTCAATTACAGTTGGAGGTAAAATGTAGGATGGACGTCCAACTGTCGCTTCCTCCGTCTCTGAGAGATGAAGTTGGCGGGCGCTTTCTAGAAGGCGGTCTAACTCAGTTAGGTCAAGGTTCACATCCATATCAGAACTAAACCATCCATTAATCCATTAAGCCAAACCGATCTCACCTCTTTAACCAATCCTGTTTTAGAGTGAGGTTAGGACCACCTACCTTATTAACATACAGATACAGAAATTAATAAATGTAGAAATGTGGAAATATAGAAATAAATAAATGAAGAAATAAGTAAGTACATGTATAAATACAGAGATAGCCCAAATAAAAGACGATGTATGGAAATGTAGAAAGAAATTCAAGACATTTGTGTATGCCCTTTTTCATGAAAAAATATGTATTTATTCATTCATTTATTTATGTATTAAATTATTTATTTGTTCATTTATTTATTTATACTTATGTCATTTTTAGTACTCCATACACGAGGGGAGACTGAACACCGCAGTAGAAAGGGTTGTACTGAAAAGTTCAGTGACTTTCATTGGGGTACAAACAAGCTCACAGATCACCAAGTGCTGAGACACAGACTATTTCTGGAAGCAATGTCAGCACAAGAACTGTTTGCTGGTTTGAGGCCTGACCTCAACCCCATTCAACACTTTAAGAATGAACTGTTAACACTAGCAATGAGACAGACCTTATCACCCAACATCAGTACCTCATCTCACTAATGGAGGAATACTACTATAGAGGAATGGAAGCAAACTCCTGCTCTGATGTTCATAAATCTAGTCAAAAGCCTTCTATGGACATATTAATTATAGTTTTGGAATGACATTACAATTAGCAAGCAGATATGAATGTGATGTTCAGGTGTGCTTATACTTTTGGCCATGTACATAATCTAAACAGATGCTCTAACCCTTTATTGCATGGTGATAACATCTAGCAACTATTTCGTTTTAATTCAGGTATAAACAATTCTGCCTGACTAGAATTTAAAGGTTATTTTTTTCTTTTATGAATCTGTCATAAAGTGCTGTACTGACCCACCTGGACTGTCAAAACTCATATGTCAGAATGCTGTTTATTGACTTAAGTTCAGCATTTAACACAGTGATCCCCTCCAAGCTCATCTTAAAGCTTAGCCAACTTGGTATCAGCACATCTCTGTGCAACTGGATTCTGGACTTCCTGACTGACAGACCTCAGTCTCTTAAGTTAGACAAACTCTTCTCCTCCATCACCCTGAACACTGGTGTGCCACAAGGCTGTGTGCTGAGACCTCTTCTGTTCTCCCTGTTCACCATGAGTGTGTTCCTGTTTATGGCTCTAACTCCAAAAATTTAAGTTTGCGGATGACACCACAGTGATAGGTCTGATCAGAGGTGACGATGAGACGGCCTACAACGAAGAGGTGCAGCACCTGGCGGCATGGTGACAGGAGAGGTAAGAGCCAGTCACACTCCCCCATCTCCATCAGCGGAGCTGAGGTAGAGCGTGTCTGATCTCAAGTTCCTTGGTATCCACATCTCTGATGATCTCTCATGACCAGGTCCCTAAACTCCTCTGTCACGGTCAAAAAGGCGCAACAGCGTCTTTACTTCCTACGGAGCCTCAAGAAAGCTCACCTGTGTCCTGGGATACTGGTGAACTTCTACTGCTGTACCATTGAGAGCAAACTCACAAACTGCACCTCAGTATGGTTCGGCAACTGCTCCGCATCTGACCGCAGAGCGCTCCAGCGGGCTCCGCATCTGACCGCAGAGCGCTCCAACTGCCCAATGCATCACAGGTGCCTTGTTACCATCTGTTGAGAACAGGTCCCATAGGTGCTGTCTGGGCAGGACGAGGAACATCATGAAGGACGTTTCTCATCCTAAACATGGACTTTTTACCCTCCTCCCATCTGGCAGGCGTTACAGAAGCCTCCACTCCCAAACCAGAAGG